GCAGATTAATTGCAGAATTTAACCATAATAGAGTATAAGTTTATAATTTGTTTGTATTTACACAAGCAAGCAAATTTTAAACAATTCCAGAGAGAAAAGGCGAAAGGGAACTGGATTCGTTACTCGCGCGCTGTTCTCCACACGCACACACATGAAGCGCGCACAAGCATTTCAGACGGCGCGCGAACACAGAACTGAATCCTTTTCTGAATCCTCTGAACAGACACACACACAAAATTATGAAAAAATACCCATCTCGACAATCGTTCAATTAAATGCAGTCAGTTATGTCTCAAGTGAATGAAAACAGCTGAGAAAGAAATCTGATGTGAGGTGTATCATTATATCCATAGACTGTAAAAAACATGGACGTAGTGTCCGTGACGTCACCTGTTGAATTCTGCTTTTTTGAAGCCCAAAGTGGGCGGAGCTGGTCGTCGCCAACTTGGCCGCGTGTCACTCCCGGATAATCGAAAATGAGTAGGAGTCCAATTCTGTCGTTTCACGTTGAGCATCCACTGGTCTAGTCTGAGAGGGTCTGGATCACCTAGAGGAAAACTTTACACTGACCAATAGATGGTTACCTTTTTCACAGACTACTTTGCACAGTCCTTATTCTGTTGGGGAACATTTTAAAACACTTAATTTGGCTTAATGCATTAAGACAGTGTTTTTCAAAGACCAAACTCAGAAAACACGTTATTAACAAATCATACTTATGTACAGACAAGCAGATGAGTCCAGGATAAGAACGCAAGGCGCGTTTAGCGTTTTCCTCCCATAGAAAACTGTTATAAGGAAAACGCTTACATGGCTTAATGCATTAAAACAGTGCTTGTCTGTACATAGTTCGATTTATTAATCATGTTCTCACTGAGTTTCGTCTTTTAAAAACTGTTTTAATTCATTAAGCCACGTTAAGAGTTTTTCTTATATATTTACACAAGCAAGCAAATTTTAAACAATTCCAGAGAGAAAAGGCGAAAGGGAACTGGATTCGTTACTCGCGCGCTGTTCTCCACACGCACACACATGAAGCGCGCACAAGCATTTCAGACGGCGCGCGAACACAGAACTGAATCCTTTTCTGAATCCTCTGAACAGACACACACACAAAATTATGAAAAAATACCCATCTCGACAATCGTTCAATTAAATGCAGTCAGTTATGTCTCAAGTGAATGAAAACAGCTGAGAAAGAAATCTGATGTGAGGTGTATCATTATATCCATAGACTGTAAAAAACATGGACGTAGTGTCCGTGACGTCACCTGTTGAATTCTGCTTTTTTGAAGCCCAAAGTGGGCGGAGCTGGTCGTCGCCAACTTGGCCGCGTGTCACTCCCGGATAATCGAAAATGAGTAGGAGTCCAATTCTTTCGTTTCACGTTGAGCATCCACTGGTCTAGTCTGAGAGGGTCTGGATCACCTAGAGGAAAACTTTACACTGACCAATAGATGGTTACCTTTTTCACAGACTACTTTGCACAGTCCTTATTCTGTTGGGGAACATTTTAAAACACTTAATTTGGCTTAATGCATTAAGACAGTGTTTTTCAAAGACCAAACTCAGAAAACACGTTATTAACAAATCATACTTATGTACAGACAAGCAGATGAGTCCAGGATAAGAACGCAAGGCGCGTTTAGCGTTTTCCTCCCATAGAAAACTGTTATAAGGAAAACGCTTACATGGCTTAATGCATTAAAACAGTGCTTGTCTGTACATAGTTCGATTTATTAATCATGTTCTCACTGAGTTTCGTCTTTTAAAAACTGTTTTAATTCATTAAGCCACGTTAAGAGTTTTTCTTATAACCTAACGGTTTTCTATGGGAGGAAAACGCTTAACGAGTAACGTTAATTACAGGCCTAACGTTACAGCTAATCACAGTCTGTCGGATTCTGGAGTGTAGTAAGGTTTTGAATAAAATTAAAAAGAATAAATAAAATTACATTA